CAGTCCCTGGAGAAGGACATCTTGCTTGGTAAAGTGGAGGGTCAGGAAAAAGGGGGAGATTCCCAACAAGTTGGATTGGAACAGTAGCAACAATAGTGGGCTCAGGCATACCAAGGATTAGGAGGTTGGTGCTAGACTGGCAGTGTTTCATTCTGTTGTGCTTACGGTTGCTCTTAGTTGGTACAGACACAATGATTTCTAAAAAAAAAAAAAAAAAAAAAAGACTAAGGAATTAACTAATATTTTACTGCTATGTGGAAGCAGAGAAGCAACAGAATATAGATTTTTTTAACATATGAAGTAAATGCACACAAAGAAAATTACTAGTGTAGAGGAATATTAAGAAAATTCTAGAATGAATAGGACACTTCTTTATTATTATTATATATTTTTTTTAGTTTTATACAGTGCAACATGTACAATTTTCATTACTTAATTATAGGAATTCTAGTGTGGTAAAGTAGGAGAAAGCTCTGGACTGCAATATTAGTTTCTACCTCAAGGTTGGAGGTGCATACTCACCAGACACTCCTGAGACACCCTATTTGGAGTCACTATGGGTGAAGAACCGACTGAAAGGCACTTAACAATAACAACACTTAATAATATTGCAAAATACACTTCAGTATCAATTCACAAATATAAAGGGCTGAGTTTATAATCATTACTATTTTTTTAATATTTGTGTATCAATTGTTTTACCCCAAAATAATGTTCACAACACCAATGTATATTTTTCATAACAAAGAAAATTGTGCATTCAAAATAGTGCAACAAAGTAGCACTTTCAAGTGTTTCCAGGCTTGTGAATCTATAAAGAAGCAGATAGCCACACCTTTTTTTCTTTTAGCATCTGGTTGATTCACAGCTACTAGGTTCAGCATTGCACCATCTGCGCTCCTTAAGTTTTCAAATATGTACATATTCTAATTATAATGAGATATTTATTAGCACTGTCTTAACAGCTTTACTTTTCTTTTTTGATATTTAAACTTTACTATAATTCTAGGGATATCTTGGTATGGTTCTATGGGTTAATGCTTTGGACTACAAATTCAATTTGAACCACAACATCGGTTTGAAGCACAAGGTCCATGATTCAAACTCATAATCCACTCTATGGAAACCCTATATAGGGTCATTATGGGTTGGAACTGACTTGATGGCATTTAACATCAACAACAACATAATTCTAGGTAACAGATATAATTTTTTTCATTTAACAAAACAAAATGAAAAATGCTCAGAGTATTAATAATTGCTAGATAGTTTTCAAAGGGTAGCTGGCCAAGAATTTAAAACCTGAAACGTAAAATTGTAAAATAAGGACTCTTAACTACTGCGCTGTATGCTTCTTGTCTGTATAATAATATCAAATAACTAGTGAAACTCTTTTAGTTGCGCCAAAATATAGCTATTATCAAAAGCAGCAACTGAGAATAAATCAAAGATTAAATCCTTTTAAGAGAGAAACATGAAAGACATACCCAGTATGACTTTACATATTTAACATCACTGCCATCTTAATTGCTTGCTGCTGTCTCTCTTCTACATAACTCTAATGTGAGTATTCTTTACTTCTTTGCTCCTAAGACTACAATTGAGTGGATTCAGCGTGGGGATCACAGTAGTGTAAAAAACAGGGCAGTAGTGGCAGCGCGATGGCAGCGGCGGCAAAGCTCAGACTCCCGCCTAGCTCTGGGCTCCGCGGTGGAGCCGGGAGAGCGCCTCCGCTCGCAGCCAGCAGCCGGGTCAAAGACGCCAGAGACCCGGGCCCCTAGGCGGCACCGCGAGCACTTGGGGCGGCACCAGCATCCACAGCCGAACTCCAAGATGGGAGGCAAGCTGAGCAAGAAGAAGAAGGGGTACAATATGAATGATGAGAAAGACAAAGACAAGAAGACTGAAGGCACAGGGACCGAAGCAGAGGCAGCCCCGAAGGAGAATGAGACCCAGGCGGTGTCTGAGACCACCGAGGTGAAGGAGGGCAAGGAGGAGAAGCCGGAGAAGGATGCCCAGGATGCTGCAAACAAGACCCAAGAGAAGGAGGGGGACAAAGACGCAGCCGTGGCCAAGGAAGAAGCCCCGAAGGCGGAGCCTGAGAACACAAAGGGGGCTGCAGAGGCCAAACTCGAGGCCTTGATGGATACAGAGCAAGAGCAGGCTGCAGCCTCGACCCCCGCTGCCCCGAAAGCGCCCGAGGCCAGTGCTGATGCCCAGGCCGAAACCACTGCAGCCACTCAGGTGGATGGTAAGAGCAAGGAGGAAGGGGAACCCAAAAAGACTGAGGCTCC